CCCCGCGGGCGCGCTCGGATCCCACCTCTGGCTGCCCTCGCCCGGCTTCTCGGAGCTGGCCGATCCGCTCCCTCGGTGCTTCTTCGCCCGCGCCTGCGGCGGCCGCGTCTCGCTGACACCGGGGCAAAAGTGAACTCTCTCCTCCCTTGCTCGCTCACTCGCCCGCCCGCCCGCGGGCCGCACCGCCTCCCCCAGCAGGTTTCCTTTCTCCTCCCGCCCGGCCCCGTTATTCACCGCGGTGGGAGCGCGCCGCCGAGCAGCGACCCCTACTGGCCGCACAGCGCAGCGCCCCGTAAGCGAGGACCCGCCTCCCGGGAGAGGAAGGGGATGAGAGGCACCCTGGACCCCTGCTGCTGGAGCCCAGCGCGCAGATGGAGGGCGCCTTGGAGCATTCGGAGGGTGGAAGTGAACCAGCGCAGGGAAGAGCCAGAAAAACCACAGCAGACCACAGGCACCCTGTTCGCCTGGGTGTTGCTCAGTGACTGAGGGACAAACATTGCAGTTCCTTTTCCTCTAGAGAGATTGCACGGGGACAACCCTCACACACTCACCTCCCCCCTCCCCCGCGTGCGCCTGCTTCTCGGGTTTAGGAGTGTAAACGAAAGTTGCTGATGACTTTGAGTCTAAGAGACGCAGGATTCCCCTTTCTTGACAAGAAACGGTAAGGGTGAGCTCGTGCGCAGGCTGGAGGGGCAAGATAAACAGCCTCCAAACAACACTCAGAACACAACTGCCAGTCATCCGCCCACCCCTCTGCCAGCCCTCCCCCAATGTGCAAAACTGTCGCTCAGGCCCAGCCGGGGTCGCACAACCACAAACCCCTTTCCGGCTCAGCGTTTGAGATAGAAACCACAAGAAGCTGTTTTAAAAGCACGGGTTTCATGCGGTTGCATGGAGCCTGGAGGAATGTGGAACCCCCTCCTAAACGTGGGCCATTGCTTTTTCACAAATGTGGGGCATGTGGGTGACCACATGACTGAAAAAAATCATCGAAAGAGGGGGTCATAAGAGATGATTTAGCCGAAGAAAGGTGGTCTAGCGACACTAGTCACCTTTAATTAAGCAAAGCTCCAGTGAGCAGCGAGCTGTTTTCTGGGAGACTCAATGAACTCTTGAAACTTGAAATTCAGACTCTTGGGCCCCACCCTGTCTCCAATTCAGTTGGTCTGGGTTGAGGCTCATGAACTTACGTTTCTTATGTCGCTGGTGAAGCTGAAGTTGAGCCGGCTCAACAGTTAGGTGCACAGGAAGAGGGAAGTCTCACTGGAAGAGAGTGCAAGAATTCCCCACCCTCACCCCTAGAGATGTTGGATTCTCACCTGGATGGAATGGAATGAAAGGGATTTTCCTCCCCACAAAAGTAGATGCTTCTAATGATAAGAGCAACTCAGAGGGGGAAAATAGCCACAGATCAGTGATGCCCATCCAGAGGCCAGCCTGTTAGCCAGACTTCTTCCATGTCTCAGGAGACGCCATGTTGGTCTCTAAAATGCACTGCTTGTTCTGTGCATCAAAAATGGACCCTTCACACATCCGTTTTGAGGATGAGCCCAGAATGCAGGGCATTAAGAAGTAGATGGTCTGTGTGTCTAGAGGTGGAAAGAAGTCACTGTAAACCACAATATTCTGAGAAAGTGGTATGATTTCAAGGTGTGGCATCAGGTAGAGTTTAAAGCAAAGAGTTGGGTGGAGAACATCCTGTCCTGGAGACAGGCAAGGCCGGGAGCCATGAGCTGGAACCTGAGGTCGGGCTGGGAATTTGTTACTAACCCAAAGAGCACTTTCTGAGTGTCAGACCAAGTGCACTGATTATGTCCATTAAGGCGCATTTGAGAGTTTTTAGAGGCGTGCTGAGGTGGTGTTACTGTTTATTTTTGAGTCAGGATCTTGCCCTAACCCCAAGCCAGTCCCCAACTCCTGATCCCACGGCCTCTATCTCCCAAGTGCCTCGATTACATATGAGGGCCACCACAACCACCCAGGACGTCTTGGTTTTGAACATGAGAATCATAGAATGTTCTGGACTCGAGGAAAGGTGAGTTCTGGAGCAGGTTACAAAATGTATTAGAGCAAACACCGTAGATATGCTGATGTTGAATGGAAGGGGCTGTAGCAGAAGTTAGGAAAGAAGAGCTTCTGTGAAGTTGACCTCAGGAAGCATGATGCTTTTGTGCAGACAGGCTGAAGGTCCTTCAACACTAACAGGGCAATTACACATGTTCATAGGTGGGCTGGATGGAGTGAGATCTATCCTCTGTGCTTGCATAAACACAAAGATGTGAGAAGATTATAGTTGGAAGTTTGCTGAGCGCTCTGGAGGACCTGGGGCTCGGTGACAGCTGATGTCACCGTGAGAGATGAATGCGAAGACCCAGTCTAAGGCAGTGCTTTCCTACCTTGCAAGTGGCTGAAGCCAATCTTTGTCATCTCTGTCTCCACTGTGCTATCTCACAGATCACCACACACCACCTCTCTGGAAAGAAACTCACCTGCAGAATGTTAGGCTATTTGTTTTTAGGATCTGACCTCAGATCACAAAATCAAATAAATACATGGCAGTGGGTCATTGTCCTATGTCTTCAACTGTTAGAAGAGCGGGAAACAAACAGAGAAACCGAGACCAGGTTGGCGAGAGAGAAAATGCTTCTTGGAGTTTGTTTTGTTTAGATTTCCTTTTCTGAAACATGCATTCATTTAGCACATGTGTATGTGTGTGCACATGGGCACTTGTGTGCCATGGTGCAGGTGTGGAGGCCAGAGGACAATTTGGCGACACTGGTTCTCTTCTTCCCACCATATGGCTCCTGGGGATTGAACTCAGATATGCAGGCTTGGCAGCAAGCAGCCTTACACTGAGCCATCTTACAGCTTGAAGGCTCTAAGACCATTTTTTTTATAAATAAATAAATATAAATAAATAAATAAATAAATAAAGCAAGAGAGTTCTTTCTTTGATGCAATATTTTAAGTGACATTGAAGAGCTACTAGGCACTACACCATTATCCTCATAATCACCATCATAACTGCTATGACTGATTACTATTGGGGGCATGACTTTGCTGTGTAGCTCAGGTCAGCTTTAAGCTTTTGATCCTCCTGCCTCGGCTTCCCAAAGCTTAGGATTATATATGTGCCACTACTGCCAACGCTAACCAAGTATTGAGAAATCAAGCCTGTGAGGGAACTGAGTCTCTGTTGATATGGTGTTTGAAATTATGTTGTAAGCCCAGCTCCTTTGTTAACAAGTTGAAATAAGGATGAAAATCTGTGAGAATTTCTATTTATTTTATTATTGTGCTACTAGAACTTGAAACTAAAGCCTCCCCTAAGTCAGCCAAGCGCCTACCACAGAGCCCCCTTTTTAATTTTTCACTTTAATTTCTCACTGCCTTGTATGGTGCTCTGGCCTAACCCTGCCCTCCTCAGGCAGTTCTCATACTTGTAATGTCCCTCCCTTGTCTCCTACTGGAGCTGGCCTTTTGTTTTGTTTGCATGCATAGAATCTGGCTATAGGCTGGAGCTGCCTTCAAACTCTCGATTCTCTGTCCTTTTGCCTAGGAAAACGTGCAACTTTGAAAAAATAACCATTATATTGTTTATATCAAAAAGAGACAAGAGAATGCTTGAGTCAAATTTTTTAACACACTACTTTAACATCCATTTGCTTTAAAAGTGATTTAAGAGCCAGAGAGATGGCTCAGCAGTCAAGAACACTTACTATTCTTACAGAGGACACAGGCTCGGTTCCCAGCACCCCCATCAAAGCTAACAACGATCTATAATTCCAGTTCCAAGAAATCTGGCGCCCTCTTCTGACCTCTGCAGGCACTGCACATGTGGTACATAGACTTACAAGCAAGCAAAAGACTCATAAACATAAAATGAACATAAACAGAACGTTTAGAAAATGATTTCATTTTCCAATAAGATACCACTATCGATCACTCACCAACTATATCCAAAACAGTGGCTTACTGATATCTTCAAAATCACCCCCAAGCATGAGGCATGGAGAAAAGACACTCAGACTTTTTCAAAGGATGGGGAGATTTTGTGTTGTTAAAGTTTTCTAATTTGTCCCCCCATTCCACAAACAGAGAGACTGCAAGAAGAAACCAGAGCTAAGCTTTACTGCAATGGAGATCTCTCTATCTAAAAGGGAAATCTTCACAGCTCAACATCAGATTAAAAGAAATTATCAGAAATGAAGGAACGAGTGTTTCTGTTCTGAGAAACAGAAGTGGGAGTTTAAGTATTGGGAGAAAGAAAATGGCAGGACTGGATTCCCTTTTGTATTATTTTACAGACAGGGAAACTGAGTCACGGCCATTGCCAGAGCCAAGCAAGAACAGTGCCTAAGTACTTCCTGCTTCCTGGGTTCTCTGCCAATTGCTTTTCTTATTATGCACATTTGTTTGTCTAGATATACATTATGTTTTCTGATGAAATTCTTTCCCCTTTCACTAAAACCTATAATTTTGGACAACTTTCAAATATTTTGTAAATGTCAAATCAGTAAGGCCCTTCCAGCAATCTTTTAATCTTTCATCCCTCACCCCTCTTTGCTTCAAGGATAAAGTTGCAAGTAAATCAAAGTTGGAAAGACTGTCTAAACTTGATTGAGTGAACTAAATAAAACCACCCACAATGTGATGATTATTCCCCCATTTCATAGTTTAAGAAAGTCAGAGCCCAAATAACTCCGAGAAAGTAATTCCCAGGGTAGCCTGTGAATGAAACTCATTCCAAGGGCAGAGAGCAGCATTGCTTGCCAGCCCCACCCCCTTGATTGTTCATCTCTGTTACCTTGAGTCAGTTCTCCCTACTGCATTCACCACTTAGTATGTGCTGGATTCTGTTAATTATTGGTTGCTTTCCTTTAGAACATGAACTTCTTTATTTTTCTTTTATTTAATTATTCAGACAGGGTCTTATGATTGCAGACATGACTCCTCTATATAGCTGAGGGTGATCTTAAACTTCCTTCCCCCCACCCCAAGGGGAGAACATGAATTAAATCACCCACTACCACAAATTATGGAGTTTCCCTGCATCTGGAGAAATCACAGGGGTCAGCACATCTGGTGTGCAGTGGATAAGCCTCGCCCTGAGAAAACCATTTTCTTGATCCTGGTTTCGCCCCTGCCAGGTAGGTATGAATAGAAATTTGACAGCTGTGACTTGGCCTGAATCTTTACTGTTGTGCCTAGTGCTTCAGGGAATGCAATCACTGGGTTATTTTGTTGCAAAATCGATTGTATTAAATTCTTACATGCACCCTTTCCTGTTCTAGGGATAATTGCCACTTTCTATCTCTGAGTCTCAAAGGCAATACAGGGCTGGGTTCACCCAGGGTGTGCTTTCCCTAGCAAAGAAGCCCACCTCTTGCTTCATAGACTGATAGTGTGGACTATAAGTTTCAGTTTGTTCACTTTGGTGGAGCACAGACTCCTCCCCTCCCCCAAGTCACCATTTAGTTGTCATTACAAATAATAAGGAACCTGGATGACACTTTGGGTCCAAGCTATAGTTCCCACTGTAATTTCAAGGTAGTTTTTCAGATTTGTGTTGGGCTTCTACATGTGTGACTGGGGTGCCATCAAAAAGATGCTTAGTGGGTACACCTTCACATACCTAAGAGGCATATGCCTCCCGTAGCTATAAATGGGGGTGTGCCTTTGCATATCTATACAGTTCTAAAGCAAACTTCTAAAATCATCTGTGCCTTCCCCATTACCTGTAATGCCAAGTTATCATGGATGGCTCAGGCTTTGGCAGAAGCAGGTGGCCATGACTTCAGTTTCCCCAGCCTGACTATTAATAGTCCCCTGCTAAAAGGCTGTTTTCATTAATTGATGGAAGACAGATTCCTAGCTAACCAATGAGAGCTTGCACATTTTGAGAAAAGTGTCACTAGTTACGGTCGGAACATGGTCTATGAGTGAAGCTATGTGAGAATCTGAGAACTAGTGAGATAATTCCAAGGAAACAAGACAAAAATCTTGCAACCTCTGTTTCTCCACAACCTGGATTGTTCCTGGAGTGTGCTTCTGTGCCCCTTCCAGATGTAGTAAATAGCAGGAGGTTTACTTCAGATTAACCCGCCATTTTACTTTTGTTATTCAAAAACATCTCCAATCACGAGTTGTGCTTGTGACTGTATATAGTCTAAACACAAGTGAACTATGCCTTTGCTTAATCCTCAGAATACAAATTGTCTGATGCCCTGAATAAAGTTGGCTATGGCATGAGACTTTAAGTCGGCCTCATTTTTAGGCTCCACTCTCCCAGGTTCACACTGCCAACTGGAGTGGTAACAGTTACCAAGGAATAAAAATCATCACACCCACTAGTTTGGCAAAATGATTACTAGTTAACAAGTGTGAAGAGTCAGAGACGCTCCCGTACTGCAGGGAAAGAGCACTTAGAGCAAGCATTGCAGGCTGGTTGTCTCTAAAGTGGAGACTCGGATTTCCGATGTTAAATAATCCCCTGTCCACTAAGGGCCTCGAGTGAAGCAGCCACACAAAAGGGTACGATGCAAGGATATTCATCCCAAGGGAAAACTGAAAACAGCCAGTGTCCTGCTGTGGCAGAATGGATAAATACATTGTGGTATATAACATGGATACAGTATTTACAACATGACATCATTTGTGTGCAATTATAAATACACAAAGAAATATTACATAATGTATGTGGAGGTTAGGCACTAAGTAAAAGCACAAAAGACAGGCAGAGAGGATGCACTATTTCAGAGAGACAGTTAACTCTGAGAAGCTAGGGAGGAAGGTAGAGAACATCAAATCTATAACATTTTATTTCCTTCTTTCTTTGCTTGAGTTAACTTCTCCCTTTGTAGGCCAGGCTGCCTTCAAACACATGGCAATCCTCCTGCCTCTTGCTCTCCTTACCCCCTTTCTCCCATATTGTGGTTTCAACTCAGCCTCCTAGGTAAGAGCCATTGAGCCCCATCCTGATCATACTAAATTAAAAATAAAAACAAACAAACAAGCATCCCACTAAGCAAATAAGCAGCTGTGTTCAGGAGGTACAGTCAGGGTGATGGCTGACCATCTTTACGATTTGACTGGATTTGGAACCACCTACGAGACACAGGCTAATCCTACCAGGTGAAAATAAGACCACTCCACAGTTTTAAAGCCAGATTTGAGGCAAGCTTTATTAAATACTAGCCAGGATGATGGACACTGTCCAGGTCCATACTCAGGATTTCCAGTGAATGGCACCAAATTACTCTAGTCAGCTACTTATAAAGGCAAATGTATAAAGGCTATATGTACTTCCTGACTTCATCCAAATGGGACCAAGCATACATCCTGACGTACTTCCTGCCTACATGTGATAGAACACATCCTGTGCAACCAACCTTGTTTATAGAAGTAAAAACACATGGCTTGTTATCCTACCTTAACAACAGCCCCCAGCACTTCAGGACGCTATGTTGGGCAAGTAGGGTTTACAAGTTAGAGGTATGTTTGTTATACAGATCTCTTTAGGACAGTGATTCATTTTGTCACACAAAAAAAGTAACTAATGCACATAGGCATTTGATGTTTGCTCCTAGGAAATTTCCTTTATGTTTGAGATGTTTTTTTAAAATGGTGTCTTGTGCTTTTACTTTGGGTCTTTTTCCTCCCAGTTTGTTTTGTCCTATTATGGTTGGTTTTCTTAGTTGTCTGTCTTCTAATGAAAGAGAAAGACAGGGCGAGGATTTGGGTTCCAGGGGAGGTAGGGAAAGATCAGGGAGTAGCTGGAGAGGAGAAACCACGATCACAATGTAGCATATTAAAAAAAATCTATTTTCAATTAAAAATTAAATTATGAATGAAAAATGAACAAGCATTTTGTAACTGTCTTTAAAATAGAAATTATGTTATAGTTTCTTGATTTAGCATTTTTTACTCATATGTGTTTCATTTTCTCAATAAGACAAACCTATATTGTTTCAAAACAAAACCCTATTGCAATAAATGACAGTGATGTGTGTGGCAATAGAAATATGCAGACACACATATCTTTGTAGGGAGGTGCTTACTGTGGCTTATAGCCCCAGACTCAGCTATTCCTTAAGGAGCAGCTGGGCCCATTCCTGACAATCAGCTTCTCCATTTTGGGGATTGGTTAGTGAGTCTTGAGTGTCCTCTTAACAAGGGATTTTCTCTTTTCTCTTACTATGTGATGGAAGATAGATCACATGGCTGGTCTATTGTCTAACAGAACTTAGCACATGGTCACACAGCCCCTTTCATTGCAAAGCCTTCTCGGGGAAATTTTATAGCTAACCAGCTGCTAATTCACCGTGGCTAGTTAGGGGTTAATGTCACATCTGGATCTAGTCAGCCTGGGGTCATTTGTGAAAGTCGATGGTGCACCAAGGCACATCCCAGCAAGGAAGGCCTGCAGCACCGAAGACTGCATTTTGTCAGGCATCAAGACAAGTGTCAGCTCATGCTGGCTCTTTAGACCAAGTCAGAGTCATCCCAGTCCACCCCACCTTCCTTTCGACTATTTCCTCTGGATGGCAGATGCCATTCCTACAATCATCTTCAGTTACTTTTGTTCAAAACCTCCATCCAGCCTGTAACCTTCCTCAGGATCCTTCCTTAGCAGCTGGTCGGTCTGGTCAGTCGCTAAGCCTCAGGGACATGCCTTTGTGAGTATGGCTGTCCTGTCTGAACCACTACCAGCACCACTACCGGTCTGACCCAAATTCTGACTGTTGTACAGATGGACAGCTCCCAAGAGCCAAACCTGTGTTCTTTTTACTCTTTCCAATCTGTTTTACTTTGCTTCGTTCTCTGAACTCCTGTACCAAATCCTTTCATTGGCATTCTTCTTTAGTCTTTAGCGTGTGCCACCTTAATTCACTGTCTGTGTTTCTATTGTTTCCTTTGATCGGGAAGAAAAAAAGTTGGTTCCTTCAGTAGCCTCCTTTGCTCTTATTTCTCATAATAGTAAAGAAAATGCATCTCCAAGGGTCTGACACTGCAGTGGGGAAGCCATCATGGTGGAAAGCCTGTTGATCTCCCATGGGGAGAGACTATCCAAAGCTAGAGTTCCCATCCTGGAGATGTTCTAGGTTGGTTTTTCTGTTTTGAGATAGAGTGTGTCACATTGTAGCCCAGGCTGGCTTCAAATTCCCACAATCCTCTGGCATCCACCTTCCAAACACTGGGATTAAGTGTGAGAGACATCAAGCCCTGTTTTCCTTACAGATTTTCAAAGACTAAAACCTATGAGCTTGCACGAACTTGGTAGGCCCTCAGTAAAGGTTTTGTAATCATAGAAGACATGTCTTTGGGTTTTGGCAAATGACAACATCAACAGGAAGTGTCTGTCTAGAAGGAGTGTCTGCCTACAGGAAGTGTTTGCCTACGACTTGTAAAGATTATCATTTGATTTCAAATGTTTCCTAGTTGGGTCAGTAAAACCAGCTAGCTTGAGACGTCTGTTTTCATTTTTGCTCAGATGTCTGCATTTTAAGCATATTAGAAGAATTTTAGAGTTTTCATTCTACTGCTTTCTACATTCTATATTTTTCTGAGAATTTAACATGAAGAACACCACACATCCAGAGCAAGGATGGGGTAAGAACAGACTCTCCTGCTGAGTGAGGGTGGAAGGCACAAAAGTTATTGGAGGAAACTGATGGAGGCCATGTCAGTTTAAACCCCTCCAGTCTGATCACTTCCCACTCAAAGTGCTACATGTTGCCTAGTTGTGTGTAAATTATTTTAAAATAAATGTACATTGTTTTCACTTTGAGAGTGAATTCTTACAAAAAATTGGAGAAATGTGGGGAAGAAAATTAAACAAAATAAAGTTAGTAATTTATTAGCAAACTATAATGTCTTGTGTTACAGGCAATAGTGCAGCCTGTGCCCAGTGTACTGAGGGCTCTAGCTTTGATTCCTAGGATCTCTCTCCCTCCATGTTCTCTCCTTCCATGTCTCTCTTTCTCCATATCTCTGTCTCTCTCCCTCCCCCTTCTCCCCCTCTCAAGTACACACGCGCGCGCGCGCGCGCGCGCGCACACACACACACACACACACACACACACGAGATGGTGAATTGAGCTCTGAGTTTTTAGAGTTTACATATTCTTGGAAATCTGTTAATTAGTATAAACTTGA